TGGCTCTGGCAGGCTCTGGATGGCTCTGGATAGCTCTGGATGGTTCCAGGGATAGTTCTGGGCTCTGGGATGGCTCTGGATGGCTCTGGGATGGCTCTGGGTGGCTCTGGGATAGCTCTGGATGGCTCTGGATGGTTCCAGGGATAGTTCTGGGCTCTGGGACAGCTCCAGGGTGGGCAGCACTGCCAGCCAGGCTCTGGTAGCTGCTCAGGGAGCTCCTCCCCAAGGAGGTTTTCCTCTGAACCCTTCCTCCTTCCCCGATTGCCAGGCAGCCTTTCCCTGGGACCCGCCGGGGGGATTTGCTGCGATGGCCAGCACGCAGTTTGGGAGGGATTAGGGATCTCTGCAGTTTGGGAGGGATTAGGGATCTCTGCAGTTTGGGAGGGATTAGGGATCTCTGCAGTTTGGGAAGGATTAGGGATCTCTGCAGTTTGGGAGGGATTAGGGATCCCTCTACGCAGGAATGGGTGCAATAGGATTAGTGGGACTCTCCATTCAGGCTCGGAGCCATAAATAGCAGCTGGACCTTGAGCTGGTGCTTCCCTCCTGGACAGGGCTCACACAGGCAGGTGCAGCCACCCGGGCAGGAGCAGCTCCTGAGCTCCCTGCAGAGGAGGAGCAGGAACGGCGGGGCAGCCCCAGGGCAGGAGCAGAGCCAGAGCCAGAGCTCAGCACTGAGTGACTGCAGGGCCCTGCTCATCCTGGAGGCAGCTGCATGACTCGGCAATGGGGCTGCCAAGGCAGCTGCAGCCTCCCCTGCACGCCCCAAATGTGTGACTGCAGTGCTCCTGCTGGGTGGGTGCACGAGCACAGCCCTGTGTGTGCCTGTCTCCTCCAAAGGACAAAGGGGCAGGAGCTGCCAGCACTCACCTGTGTGAAAACAGCAGCTCCTGAACAGTCCAAGGCCAGAACAGGGGTGCACAAACCTCACTGAGGTGGCTGTGCTGGTATAAAATCTGCTATTCAGCAGTCAAAATCCCATTACTTTATCCCCTGGGGAAATGGAGTGAGGCTCCCTCGTGGCAGCAGCTGCTGGAATAACCTCTGTGAGCTGAGGTCCAGCCTTCCAGGCATCTGCCCTGGAGAAATGAGTGACAGAAAGAGGTGGTGAACCTGCAGGGATCTGGTGATTCCCCTCAAAGGCTCTAAGGAGATTTCCAAACAATTTGCAGGCATTCCCCTTCTTAATAGATTTAGGAGCCGGGGAACAGAAATAGCACCAAGCACGTCACGGAAAGTAGGAAACCTCTTTACAAGGTTAAAAATAAGCAAACAGCAAAGCATTTATTTAGGACAGGCAGGAGCAGAGTGGCTAATTGCTGAGGGAAGAGCCAGTTTCCATTCGCACAGAGGTGTCGTCAATGAAAACAAGATAACTGAGTCATGCTTAGGTAACAGCAGGGGAAATGTGTCTGCAGCCCAGCAGAGCCCTGCAGCAGCTGTGGGTCACCCCTGTGTGTCCTGGGGTCACCCCTGTGTGTCCTGGGGCTCACACCTCACCCCTGTGTGTCCCTGGGGTCACCCCTGTGTGTCCTGGGGCTCACACCTCACCCCTGTGTGTCCTGGGGCTCACAGCTCACCCCTGTGTGTCCTGGGGTCACCCCTGTGTGTCCTGGGGCTCACACCCACCCCTCCTCTGCACAGGGCTCTTGCAAAGGCTCAGGGCTCTTTCCCTGCTCCTTGTGCCCTGTGTGGGCAGGCATCCATCACATTTCTGGGGGAAAACCCACGTGGAGATTGACTGAGAGCAATGCCCGGAGCAGGAGGGGGCTCAGGGAGCTGTGGGGTCCCTGCAGAGGCACCCGGAGCTGCTGCCCCAAAGGGCAGTGTCAGTTCTGCCATCACTGCTTGTCCTGCTGGCTCAGATTGTGTTGAACCCTTTTTGAGGCAGGTTTGCCATGGCTGTGGCTGCCGACATCACCAGGAGCGTGTGCTGCTGGCATTTATCACTGTTCTAACAGAGAGCCAAGAGAGAATCAAGTCCTTTGTGTCTCATCGTTCCTATTCTCTCAGCATTTGTTTAAAGTCACTTCCCTATTTCCAGAGCATCATTTGGGCTTTAAGTCCCTTTCTCTTTTAGCAGCACCAGCTCAGATTTGTGGATGTGCCAACCCCTCAGCACTCACCCTGCCCGACTGCGCTGCAGGAGCTGCCCAGGCTCTCCTGCTGGGGGTGCTGAGCCCAGGGACAATTCACACCATTCTGCTTCTTTTCCTCCACAGGTGGCTGGAACACCAGAAGCCCCCGGCAAAGCCCACGAGAGCCAAGGGAATGGAGGAGGCCAAGGCAAACCCGGGGGTCCCCCAGCCGCCCCCCAGGCCGAGGGAGCGGCCGCCCCCCGCCGCCCCCCTGGGCTCCCGCTTGGTGCCCGTGGTTGTGCACACCGGGGGCCGCCCCCTCAGCTCCTTCCGCTTCGTGTTCTACCGGCCAGGCTGGCCCAACTCGCTGGCCCCGTTCTGCACGGCACAGAAACCCTTCTGTGGCTTCCGCTTCCAGGAGGGCACCGCGCACGGCCGGGCGCGCCTGGGGGTGCCCAGCACCGACATCCGCAAGTGGAGAGCCTGCCACGGCCCCAAGCCATAGCTGGGACAGCCAGGGGCAAGAGGGGCTGGGACAGTGCGCCAGGGGGCAATAAAGGCCTGAGACAGCATGGGGTGACAGTGTGCCATGGTATGAGAGCACGGGGGACAGTGTGCCATGGTGTGAGAGCCACAGGGTGACAGTGTGCCATGGTGTGACAGCATGGGGGGACAGTGTGCCATGGTGTGACAGCACAGGGGACAGTGCGCCAGGGGGCAATAAAGGCCTGAGACAGCATGGGGTCACAGTGTGCCATGGTATGAGAGCACAGGGGGACAGTGTGCCATGGTGTGACAGCATGGGGGGACAGTGTGCCATGGTGTGAGAGCACAGGGGGACAGTGTGCCATGGTGTGAGTGCCACAGGGTGACAGTGTGCCATGGTGTGAGTGCCATGGCACCGTGTGTCCCCTCATTGGTGTGACAGCCATGGGCACCGTGTGTGTCCCATCGGTGTGAGCAGTGTCCCATGGGTGTGAGCAGTGTCCCATCAGTGTGGCACCCATCGGTGTGAGCAGTGTCCCATCAGTGTGAAGAGTGTCCCATCGGTGTGACACCCATGGGCACCGTGTCCCATGGGTGTGAGCAGTGTCCCCTTGGTGTGATATCCATGGGCACTGTGTGTATGTCCCATCGGTGTGAGCAGTGTCCCATCAGTGTGACACCCATGGGTGTGAGCAGTGTCCCATGGGTGTGAGCAGTGTCCCATCAGTGTGAGCAGTGTCCCATGGGTGTGAGCAGTGTCCCATCGGTGTGAGCAGTGTCCCATGGGTGTCAGCAGTGTCCCATGGGTGTGAGCAGTGTCCCATCAGTGTGGCACCCATGGGTGTGAGCAGTGTCCCATGGGTGTGAGCAGTGTCCCATGGGTGTGAGCAGTGTCCCATCACTGTGAGCAGTGTCCCATCAGTGTGACACCCATGGGCACCGTGTCCCATCGCTGTGAGAGCCACGGGCAGGGCAGCTGGGCTGGGTGGGGAGGCTCTGCCGCTGCTCCCCAGGGAAATATGCAGTGGATTTTGCTCTGCAGCCCTGCCCATGCTGCCGTGTCCTTTCCTGCTGCGGGGGTGTCCCAGCACAGGCACTGCCAGCCCCCCCAGCCCAGCTCACCTGGCTCAGCCCAGCCTGGGCCAGGCTCAGGGCACCCCTGCAGGCTCACCTGGCTCAACAGGGGCCCGGGGGCCAGTACGGAATTAGCACATCCAATTAGTGTTCCTCAGCTTAATTCCTTTTCCATGAGTGGTTTTTGATTGTGTAATGCTGCTTTTTTTAGCAGAGTTATTCCTAATTTACGGAGGTGCAGAAGCAATACTGGCCTCTGTCACTTGTTAGATAACTGCAGTTACATATTAAATGTGTGTTATGGACCAACTCTGTGGGACACCCTGGACTCACACCTTTCACTTCCAGCCCAGGATCTGGCCCATGGTGCTTTCTGAGATTTTATTCCCGAGTATTTCTCAGAATGCTGTGTGTCAAAGTGAAAACAACGCTGGATTTGGTTGTGTTTACATGGAGAATTTTGCAGGGTAATCCATCACAGGTGAAAATTGAAGCTGCATTTAACTGCACTGAGTTTGTACAGCAGCAGCCAGGACACACTGCTGGGGTGAGCGGAGTTGGGACAACTTTGAGGAAAAACCACTCAATTAGCAGCACCAAGACTGGACACAGGGCCCCTGGAGCTGGGGGGAGAGGGCCCTTCCCCTTCCTGCTGTCTGCAATTAAAGCAGACTTAAACCTCTACCATTCAAAGCAATTACGTTTCTATATTTGTCTCCTCAGACCAAATTTACCCTCCTGCCGTGTCTCTTCCCCCTCCCTGAGCTCCAGGCCCTGGAGCCCCTCTGGAATCCCCTGGCAGAGTGAGGTGAAGGGAAAGCAAAGAGCAGAAACAGCACAGAGGACTCAGAGTGGTTTTCTCTCATTTTTCTTACTCTAGTTCTGGTCCAAAAGTTGTTGCTCGTGTGACACCAGCCCCCCCCAAACGATAAATGAAGTGGATTAAGAGATTAGCTCATCACAGAGAAAATTCCACCCTCCTAATCTCCTGCTGGGCCTGTAATCTGCAAGACTTCCCCATTTTACCTCTTTTCTATTTTAACCTGAACTCTTAATGCCTGGCAGGAGCCCACCACCCCTCCGAGCCTCATTGGCTGGGGAGGGATTTGCTGGGTATTTAAATGTCCCCTTCCCTGCAAGGAGGGATTTGTGCTTTTGGGTTTCCCCGGGAAGAGGAGCCTCCCGTGTCCATCCCTGCTGGAACCTGTACAGCACCAGGGGTTTCCTGATGCCCTGACCCTGCACTGCTGGGGACACCTGGGCTTCAAAGGCAAGAAGCAGAATTTTGAGACTTTTTTTTTTCCCCTAAATCCCACAAACCCTCCGTTCTTGGCCGCAAAGGGCCCAGCAGTTGGTGTGGAGATGGGGAACATGGACGGGAAAACCGTGGAGGAGCTGAGCACCACCGAGTGCCACCAGTGGTACAAGAAGTTCATGACAGAGTGTCCTTCTGGCCAGCTCACCCTCTACGAGTTCAAACAGTTTTTTGGCTTGAAAAACCTGAGTCCGGCAGCGAACAAATACGTTGAGCAAATGTTTGAGACGTTTGACTTTAATAAGGTAAATATTGTCCTTCCCACTGGGCTGTGCAGGGCTGGGCTGGCTGGGTGGGAGGGAGGGAGGCAGAACCTGCTCTGGGTATGTGCAGCCTGATTCACTGCAGCCTCATCAATTGAAAAATCGGCTCTGGAACGTGAAAAATGCCAGCAGGAACTCCTCACCCTCTGCCTGCTCTGCAAGGACACTGAGGCTTCTCCCAGAACTGATATTTTCCTTCTAAAACAGGGGGGGTTTATCTGGCAGTCTTTGATCCCTTTAAAATGAAGTGCCCTTTAATCCTTAAACATTGGGTGTTGTGACAGTGGCTGTGAGGACAAGGGCTGCATTCAGAGTCCCCAGCACGGGCTGGGGCTGCTTGTGCTGTGGGAAACTGGAAACTCTGAATGGATTGCACTGGGGTTGATTTTATTGCATGGGATAAGGAGCTTGGAATCCCTGGGGAGAGGCTTTGGGATTTGGGAATGCAGTCCCAGAGCAGGAATTTGGGAATGCAGTCCCAGAGCAGGGATTTGGGAATGCAGTCCTGGAGCAGATTTTTGGGAATGCAATCCCAGAGCAGATTTTTGGGAATACAATCCCAGAGCAGGGATTTGGAAATGTAATCCAAGATCAGATTTTTGGGAATGCAGTCCCAGAGCAGGGATTTGGGAATGCAGTCCTGGAGCAGATTTTTGGGAATGCAATCCCAGAGCAGATTTTTGGGAATGCAGTCCCGGAGCAGATTTTTGGGAAGCAGATGGATGCTGTGTCCCCAACAGGAAACTGCATCCTCCTCTGCTTGCAAATGACCTGAAATTGCACCTCCTGTGAGATGAAGAATCTATTTTATGGCAACCCAAAGGGCTTAGTGGCATTAAAGTGGCATTAATCCCATTGACAAAAATGCAAATCAGGCCCTAAATCCTTCAGGTGTTTGGTCTGTGCCTTGGCCTTTCCCTTGCTCACTGCTGTGTTTGAATGCATGCCTGCAAAGGGAATTGATGCACAGGAAATCCTGCTGGCAAGGGGCTTAGCAGTTATTTGTCCCTAATCTGGCTCCTGCAGCAGTGGGATAAAGCAGATGATCTCTGCAAGGTCCTGGCAGTGCCTTTGTTCACTGGCACAACCCTGGCTTATGCTCTGTAGTGGGAATCATGGAATCCCTGAGGTCCCTGAGCCCAGCTGCCACCCCTGATCTGTGTCCCCAGCGCCACATCCACAGGAGCCCTTGCAGGGAAGCGCCACAAACCACAGCAGGGATCCCTTCCAGGGCCACGGGAAGGCTCTGGGGTGGGCATTTTAACAACCTCCTGGGAGCTGTGAGTGCCACAGGCAGCGTCTGGGGGCACTTGGGTTCCTGTGAGCTCAGGCCAGCAGCTCTGCAGCGGTGCCACCGCCCTGGCTCCAGCTGGGCACCCCAAACCACGGCACGAGCTGGGCTGGGCAAACACCCGGCAGCAGAGGCCAAGATAAAAGTGTTTGTGCTCCAAACGTGGAGCAGGCACAGCAATGGCACAGGGACACGGGAGCACCCTCCCAGCCCCAGGTGTCGGCAGCGTGCTGGGGTCGCTCCTGAGTTCGCTCCTCTGGAAATGAGACCCCGGGCAGGGGAAAGGAGCTGCAGGCGTGTGCAGGCAGGATGAGGCTGGGGAATTTATCAGGGCTCATCTGCATAAACCTCTGTGACCTCTGAATCCCCGCTGCTGCTCTGGGCTGGTAATTAATGCCTGGGTGTTAATTCCCTGAGGCCAGGCCAGCTCTGTCCCTGAGCCTGATCCACCCAGCCAGTCCCAGCCCCTAACGGTCCACGCTGGACTTGGTCATCTGGAGGCCTTTCCCAGCCTTTATGATTTTACAATTCTATCATTCTACAACATTCCTGCCCCGATTCAGGTGGAACCTTGGCTTCCACCCCTGCACTCCACGAGCCCCTGGTCTCAGAGTGGGGGGACCAGCTCCAGGGGGAACATCAGGAGTGTCCAAAAGAATCCTTTATTGCCTGACTCTGCTTTTAACCTGACCTTAGCTTCTAACCTTCTGCTTTTAGGATGGCTACATAGATTTCATGGAGTATGTGGCAGCTCTGAGCCTGGTGCTGAAGGGGAAGGTGGACCAGAAGCTCAGGTGGTATTTCAAGCTCTATGACGTGGATGGCAATGGCTGCATCGACCGGGCTGAGCTGCTGAACATCATCAAAGTGAGTGGGGCCAGCTCCCCCATTCCTGCCCTGGCTGCAGGGAGCTTCCAGCCCATGAACGCCATGGTCAGCCACAGACGCTGCCCAAAGCTGCTGCTGTCCTGTGCCAGCTGTGCCTCCAGAGCCCCTTGGGCTCCCCTGGCAGCTTCCTTAACCCTGGGCACTGAAACTGGGGCTGAGATAAGCACTTGAATTTAATCGAAGGGTTTTCAGAGGTGAATGGCTGCTGGCTTATCCCAGCATGCCCAGTAAATCTTGTGGAGCATTGATGGCCTTTTTAGGTGATTTTAATCTCCAGCCTTTCAGACAGGATTTACTCCTTTTGAAGCCTAACTGCCTGAAAACAAGTTTTAGCCCTGAAAAAGCATCTGGCCTTTTGTGCCTGGTGATTTGGCCACTTGTTCTGATGGCCGCCCACACCTGCAGAGCACTCAGCAGCTCCTGTGCCCCTCTCTCCCCCAGGCCATTCGATCCATCAACCGCTGCAACGAGAAGATGACGGCAGAGGAGTTCACAGACATGGTGTTCAACAAAATCGACATCAACGGAGACGGTGAGGCCCTCGCTGGGCACTGCCCCTGCTCTGCCCTCCCTGCCCTGCACTCCAGAGCACCAGGGTGGGAGAGCTGCCAGAGGGTGGCTCCCTGTGCCCCCATCTGCAGTGGGTCTGGGCTGGGCTTTGGGGCACAGCGCAGGGGCTGAGCCCCCATTGCAGGGTGCAGGGAGCTCTGGGGTGTAACAGAGCTTTGTGGATGTGCCCTGCAGGCGAGCTGTCCCTGGAGGAGTTCATGGAGGGCGTGCAGAAGGACGAGATGCTGCTGGACATCCTGACGCGCAGCCTGGACCTGACCCACATCGTGAGGCTGATCCAGAACGACGGCAAGAACCCCCACGAGGGCGGGCAGGACGCCCAGGATGCCCAGTAGCTCCCTGGGCTCTCTTGGCCTCCCCTGGCACTGTCACTGGGTCAGCTGTGACTGCACTCCCTGCTGACAGAACTGTCCCCGCAGCACGGGCACCGGCACGGCAGGAGAGGGGTGCAGAGCTAAATACCACAATGTCCATCCCACATGGACCTGGGATGGCCTCTGGACGCTGCTGCTCAGCTCACAGAGGGGACAGCCAGTGCTGCACGAGGCTGGGCAGGCCAAGAACTCACTGAGAACACCCCAAAACCGCCACCGAGGCCGTGGCCAAACCCCACAGCGGGGCCCAGCCAGGGCTGCCCAGGACTTGGCCCCGTGAGAGGGGTCCTGGAAAAGCAGATCCAAACCTTCTCCTTCCATTGAAATTTCCAGAGCAAGCACTCTCCAGTTCTGGTCACTCCTTCCTTCACTCATTATTCGGTCAGCAGTGAGTAGTGATAATGTGAGTTAAAACATTTGTAGGCTAGAAAAAGGAGAGGGGTGAATGCAGTGGCTTTTCTTTGTTTAAAAGCATTAAAAACATGGAATGGTGCCTTTTTCTAACAACCCCCTGGTCTGTAAGGAAATGTTTCTCCCTGAAGCATCTGGAAGGAAGGAAGGAAGGAAGGAAGTGCTTCCAGACAAGCAGGATCAGCAGTGCAGGAACCCGAGAGGGAGCTGTAGGGCTGTTCCTGCCTGTGAGGAGCTGTAGGGCTGTTCCTGCCTGTGAGGAGCTGTAGGGCTGTTCCTGCCTGTTGTGGGGCTGTTCCTGCCTGTTGTAGGGCTGTTCCTGCCTGTTGTGGGGCTGTTCCTGCCTGTTGTGGGGCTGTTCCTGCCTGGTTCACACCTGGCAAAGGGCACCAGGAGGTTCTGACCCCCCTGTCTGTGTGGGTTCAGGAGGGGGCAGCTGCTGCAGAGGGTGAGACCCAGCTCAGAGCAGCACCTGGGGGTTCCTGCCAGGCCCAGAGCTCAGGGTGGATCAGGCAGTGCCCTGGGGCTCAGCCCTGGCACCCTTTGTGCAGGGCCTGTGCCAGGGCAGGGCTGCCAGCCCCCAACAGCCCAGGCTGTGCCCTGGCTGCTCCTGCAGGGAGCTCCTCACCCCTGGACACCCCAGGCCTGGTGGGGCAGCACAGGACACCAGGAGGGACTTCTCGCCCAGCTGAGAGTTTTGTTATTTAGCACTGGGTGTTTGCAATTCATAAGCAGCTTCCTGGCCATTTTTCCTGTGTGTCTTTTCCATTGGACAGAGTTTTACCTGGAAGCTTTTGTACTTCCAGTGCTATGGTGAGCTAATAAAGATGTTTTACAATATCATTTCAGGTCATGCTTCTTCTGTCTTGCGATCAGTCCTCCTGTTTCCAGCAGCACAGATTTAGTGGCTCACACAAGTTCACCAATTGTTGGTCTGGGGCTCACAAACCACAGCACCTGGACAGGAGCCCTTGATGGCCAACCTGTCCACTCTGAGCCCTGCAAGAGGGAGCAGCTGCAGCCCCTCATTAGAGGTGGGCTGAGCTGTTCCTCACAGTGTAATGTCAGATCCTGGTGCAACACAGCAGTGTAACCCCTTCTTGCAGCAGAACCAGCTCCCCACAGTGACCAGCACACAGCTCAGAGCCCTTTGGCCCCACACAGCACAGGGAGGGAGCTGAGCCCAGCGTGGGCTTCCTGAGCACCTCCCTGGGCACAGGCACCTCAGCCCTGCCCGAGCTTCCCTGAGCTCCCCTCTGTGCCGAGGGCAGCAGGAAGCGCCTTTGACCAGCCAGGTCTCTGGTTAGAAAGACAAAGGTGTTCTAAAAGGTGTCACACCCTGTCCCACCCCTGTCCCCATCTCTGTCCCATGCCATGCCATCCCACTATCCCATCATCCCATTCCATTATCCCATCCCCGTTCCCATTATCCCGTTCCACCCCATTATCCCATTATCCTGTTCCCATTATCCCATTATCCTGTTTCCCATTATCCCGTTCCCATTATCCCGTTATCCCGTCCCCATTATCCCATCCCCGTTATCCCGGTCCCATTTTCCCGTTCCCGTTCCTATCCCGGTTTTTGCCCCCCCCGCTCCCGCCGTTTCCCGTCCCGCAGCGCCCCCTGCGGGCCGCGCCGGGAGCAGCGGGAACGGGACCGGCCCCGGGACCCCGAACCCGAGAGAACCCCCCAAAACCCGAGAGAACCCCCCCAAAACCCGAGAGAAACCCCCAAAACCCGAGAGAAACCCCCAAACCCGAGAGAACCCCTCAAAAACCCGAGAGAAACCCCCCAAAACCTGAGAGAAACCCCCCCAAAACCCGAGAGAACCCCCCAAAACCCGAGAGAAACCCCCAAAACCCGAGAGAACCCCTCAAAACCCGAGAGAAACCCCCAAACCCGAGAGAACCCCTCAAAACCCGAGAGAACCTCCCAGACCAGCCCCGGGAACACCCCCTAAAACAGCCCCGGGACCCCTTAAAACAGCCCCGGGACCCCGAACCCAGCGAAGCCCCCAGACCAGCCCCGTGCCACTCGCAGCGTGATGCGACAGGCGAGGAGAGGCCACCGAAGCCATTCACGGCCGGACTCTCCCCTTCCCCTTCCCCTTTCCCTTTCCGGCGCTGCTGGGACCCCAGAACAGCCCCAAGGGCGGGGTCTTTTAGGGTGATGCTCTTGAGACACCCTCGAGGCTTCTGAGGTGAGCTTAACTTTGAAGAAAATAAAAAAAAAAAGGAAGGATAAGGAAGGAAAGGGAAAGGAAGGACAGCAAAGAAAGAAAGGAAAGGAAAGAAAGGAGGGAACAGCAGACAGGAAGGCAGGAAGGGAAGAAAGGAAGGAAAATAAAGGAGTAAGGGGAGGAAGAGAAGGAAAGGGAGGAAAGAAAGGAAAGGAATTTTGCCATGGCCCAGCTGGGCACAGGTGCTGTAAGAAAAGCGCCGTAAGAGGCCGCAGGCAGTGCCTGCAGTGACCGGCACCGGGCTCAGGAGGTCACTCTGGCCTTGCACGGGACATTTCCCAAGGGAACCTGGCCACAGGTGCTCCGGGAGTGACCTGGGCACAAACCCCGAGCCCGGGAGCCGCCCCGGCCCCCAGAGCAGGGCAGGGATCCTCGCTCCTCTCAGCCGCCCGTCGCTGCTGCTCAGCCTCTGCCAGGGCTGCGGCTCCCGGGCTGTTTCAGCCTGTGGTACCTCCTCGGCTCCTGCTCCCTCTTCCCTTCACCACAGCCCCAGCTCCGGCTCTCCAGCCCGGTTATTCCACCTTTGCTGCCGCCCTGCTGCAGGGCACGGAGCAGATGGCAGCCCAGAAACGTCAGGCGGCATTTGCCTTTTCCGAGCCCTCCCGCTTCCCCGTTTAGAGCAGAGAGAAATCGGATCAGTGCAATCCAATTGGAGCGGGCCCTAAGTCTGGCAATGGGATTATGCAGATGCTGCCACCAACAGCCCGGCGAGCGCTGATGGGGCCGCAGAGATCAGGGCTTTAAAATAGCACCTGGCCGTTTCTCCGCCAAAGATTACACAACCGGTTAGAGGAACGATTTTCCATGGGTTGTGCCAGCTCTGACACCGGCACAGCCCCTGCAGCTCCATCCCAGCCCTGCGCGGGGCTCAGAGCAGCTCCTGCCCTGCTCCAGTCCTGCAGGGTCGCGCATCTCACTGCAGCACCCAGCTCTCTCTATTTTAAACTCCTGTTCCCTTTGAGAAACGTCGTGTTTTTAATCCCACTCTCACGGGTTTTGCTGTCATCACACGAAGTTAAACACGAGAGGCTCCTTCCCAACCCTGCCCCTGCAACAGCATCGTCATCTCTGCCTTATCTCTGTCTTACCCAGCAGCTCCTCCCCTAAATTCAATATCTCACACGCACAGGCTGCAGTTTCACTCAGGTGCTTACACAGCTCTTCACCTCATTAACAAACAGACACTACAAAACAAAGGCTTTTAATAAATATTTCTTTATTCAAGTCGTGTTTTACAAAACTCCTACCAACATCTGTACAGGTGCTCACCAGGGAGGGCTGCTGGGTCCCCAAACAGCCCCTGCAGAGCCTGGCCTGGCCAGGTGAGCAGAATTGCAGAATTTGGAGCATTTCAGTGAAGCAGCAAAATGCAATTCTATGAACTAAACAGCCTCTCTAAATCCAGGCAAGGAGCAGGGGGTGTTACCTGGCTTGAGATGATGAAATGTAAGGAATTCTTAGAGATTTGTACCCCGCAATGAAAACATTTTTTCACAAGCTGGCAAATCAATAAATGTGAATGTTTTCATCCAGGCTCTCAAGTCAGAAGTCAGATTTTTCTCTCAGATCTCGAGCTGATAAACTATTGACCAGAGAGAGCTTTGAGCAGCTGCCTCAGAGCAGCAGAAAGCACAAGTCTAATCAGCCCTGATAAGTCAGCACAGCACAAACTGCTCAGTATTTACAGAGAACTCATAGAAAGGCTATTTCAAAGTGGAAATGTGCACAATCTGAACTCCTGCACTGATTGTGTCTAATCCTGAGCACTTCCCCATGGAATTCAAACACTGGGTAAACTGACACGACCACAAACCAGCACACTAATCAGCTAATGACAGCTACTACAGTCCTAATTAAAGGCCACAAAAAAGGGGTTGTAAATCTTTTCATTGGTGTGACCTGGCCCACTGATCCCATAGGAAAATTCAAATGGAACAGACAAGCTCATGTTATTTTCCTGGGGGTTTTCTTCTTTTGAATGAACCAGTAAATCCAATAAAGGTGAACCAAAATATTGATTCAACCCAAGTTCTTTTCCCACACACATCTATGTAGAAACACGGGTTAGAACAGCAGAGCTCAGCCTGCAACTTGTGCAAATTCTAAATCTGCAGTGTGGGGCTAAATTAAGTCCAGTGTAAAACCACTGTACTGCAAATTTTGTGACTTTTTCCACTTTTCAAGGCCAGTTTGGACAGGGCTTGGAGCAATCTGATGTGGCATCCCTGCCCAGGGCAGGGGGCTTGGAAATCGAGGAGTTTTCAGGTTCCTCCCAACCCAAACCACCCATGGTTTCTGATTCTGTGGTCCTGCCAATGGAGCAGCACAAATCCTCCCATTGCAGAGACACTGCCAAGCACAACCCTGCTCTTCCCTCATCTCTGCTCCCACACCAAACCTCTCCCAGTGCAGCGAAAATCCCAGAGCTCCCTGGGCTCATCCCCTCTCCCAGGGCAGGAGGAGCAGCTCCAGGGAGGATTCCCCATAGCCAGGGGCTGGAAGGAGCTAAGTCCCCCTGGGCTGTTCTGTGCTCTGAGTGGGGCTGGGAAATGCCAGAGTTTGGAGCCAGCATCCCTCAGCCCCCGGGCCTCTGGGCAGGCAGGAAGGAGCTGCTGCTGCTCCTGCCCAGCCCCGAGGTTGTTCCCTCAGCTCTGTGTGCTGTCCTGGCCACTGCTCAGACCCAGTTCTCATTTCTGGTGGGGTTTTGTTGGACACGAGCAGCAGTAAAGGCTACAGAACACACACAGAGACCCCCGAGCATCCCACAGCTGCTGTGCTGCCCTGCAGGAGGGAGCCAGGACAGCACCAGGCTGCTCTGGGACAGCACCAGGCTCCATCCCCACGGCCAGCCCCAAACCCTGCTGCAGGAAAACACCAGAGTTTGTTCCTCGGGGTGTAACCAAAAAGCAGAGCTGGCAAACACGGGACTGTGTACACAGCAAGACTTATTCATGGGCCAGAAACAGTCCCTGGGTACCTGCAGTGCTCTTTGGGTTTTACATCCTTAAACCACTCGGGTTTTCATCGATGCTGAGATGGAATTCAAAAGGAAAGTCGTTACCAGGCTGGAGGGAGGAAGGGTCACACTCGGGACTCGCCAGAGCCGCATCCTCTCAGAACAAATCTCAGAACAAAGCACTCTTCCTCCTCTGCTCCGTGATCCATCCCCCGGGGTTCACGTCCATTTGCAACATCTTCATCACCCACTTGTCCTTCCTGGCCCCGTCAATGAACTCGTCCAGGGACAGCTGCCCTGTGGGCGGGAGCAGGGACGGGCAGATAAGGGATAAGGGAGGAGGAGGAGGAGGAGGCAGGTTCCACCCAGGCACAGATCAAATGCAGATCAGACTCCATCTCGGGGGATCCCCCAGCTCTGCAGCTGAAGGAGAAGCTCAGGGGCTGTGACCCAGCCCGTTCCCCCTGCCCCATCCCAACGGGACACTCTGGATGCTGCAGGGCCTCACCCAGGCCCTTCCAGGACCCAGCCAGGTCCTGCAAGGCCCAGCCTGACTGGAACCAGTGTCTTCAGCCAGCTCCTGGTGCTGGGACTGGGACCTGCCCTGTGCCTGCCAGAGGATGGGACCTGATGGCACCAAAGCTGCCCCAGCAGTGACTCCTCTGTGTTGTACATTGAAATAACAACAAAAAGGATTTCACCGGCTCCACCAAGAGGCTTTTGGCTCTGTGGAACGGAGCAGAACCAAGCCCAGCTGTCCATTGTGAGAACACAAGAGAGCCCAGTGATCTGTGGCCAGCCCAGCTCGGGTGAGCTCTCAGGAATGCAGCCTGGGCATCACTCACCGTCCCCGTTCTCATCCACCAGCTGGAATATCCTGTCCACCACCTCCTCCGGGGTCAGCAGCGGGGTCCTGTCCTCCACGTCCGACCAGCACACCCTCTTCAGCCTGTAGATGGACTGAAAGCAGCTCCCAGGTCAGGGCAATGAAAGCACTGAGCTCTCTGGCACCCCGTGGCTGTGGAGGCCTTTCTCTAAGGTTGAACCTTTCTGGAAAGATCTGCCCCTAACAGCAGCTCAGATCTGGAATGGAACCCCTGACCTCGTGGCTGCACATTAATGGCCCCATGTGCTCTGTGAGGCTGCTGCCCTCCTGCTCTTACACACACTGGGCAGAGCTCAGGGCTCCCTGGCAGAGAACAAAGTGAGAATTTCCCAGATGGGAAAAATCACAGGCCTTGAGTGGGAGATTTTGCTGGCACACCTGGACTGCCCAGCCCTGGGGAAGCAGTGCCCAGGCTGCAGATCAGGCCTGGCTCAGCTCATGTTTTGAGGCACAGTTTCTGCCCCCTTTGCCAGGGAAAGGCTCAGCCTGCATCTCCCCCTGCCATGGCACCACCTGTCCATGGTTACCTTTGCTGCTCAGGTTGAAGGGTTTTGTGTCAACCCTTCCCACAGAGAGGATTAGCAGTGGCCTCACAGTTCTGGGCACTTCTTGGCTGACCTCAAAACTGCAGAGGGAGGTGGCCCTGCAGTCAGGCTGCCCTGCTTTCCCAGCTGCTCACCTGCCTGCCCAGAGCCCTGTGACCCCAGGAGGGGCATTGCACATCCTGGGACGCTCATGGGGATGAGCACAGGTACCTGGGGGCCTGCTCAGCCCCACAGCACCCTTGGAACCCCATTGCCACAAACCCCATTGCACACAGCTCAGAGCGTTGCCACAGAGCAGGGATTGCTGAAAGAAGGGATTGGGCAATGCCCACCTACCTCAACGATTTCCAGCAGCTCAGGTTTGTCTATGCAGCCGTTCCCATCCTTGTCATACACTTTGAACGTCCACCTCAGCTTGTGCTCCAGCTTCCCCCTTAAAACCAGGTTCAAGGCAGCCACATATTCCAGGAAATCAATGGTGTTGTCCTGTGCCAACACAGAAGCAGCAGCTGGGTACGCTTGGCTGGGCAGAGAGCTGATGGAAAAGTGCTTTACAGCTCCCAGAAAGCCTGGCTGGAGCTGCCAGGAGGACAGGGCAGGGACAGGTGCTTGCTTGGCACTCTGAGGAGGGTTTGTGGCAGCTCAGGAGCTGCAGCCAGGCTGGGCTCCTCCTCCCCATCCTGCACCCCCCAAAACCAGAGTGTCTGTCCTGTCAGGAAAACTCCTGTAAATTAGGAGTGGGACTTCATCTTTTATGCACGGTTTGCTCTGCTGCCTTTTCCCCACAGCTTTCATAACAGAATTTGGGATCTGAACCTTTCATTTTTTGCGGGAATTTGGTTTTTCACAACTTGGAATTCTGAGACTAGCCTGACCTGCCAACATCTTCCAGGGCCTTTTTAAGCCCTTTCCCACAAAGTGACTTTTGCTGCCACTTCCATGAGGTTTTGACCCTGTTTTCAAAGGGAGCTTCAGGGAGATGAGTTGATCAGGGATGAAGAGCCTGAGTCCCCTTTTCCTGTATTCATACAAGGAACGAACATCCCCACAGCTGGAATATCATCAGGAGCTTCAGGAAAAGAATAATTTACCCATTGGCAAGTGCTGCCCAGCCAGGGCAGCTGAGAACCCAAAGCATGCCAGGCAGCAGGGCAGGGATGCAGGGCAGGGATGCAGGGGCTGTGGCTGAACCACAAATCCCACTTTCCCCAGGTGTCCCATGGCAAATGTGGCAAAGGGAATCAAACCCAGAATGTCTGAATTGTTCAGCACTCCTCTGCTTGTGGAAAGCAAAGATAAAATCAATATTTTATTACAAACCACCTGCTCGTACCTGCTACAGGACACTTCCTCCAACACAGAACAAGCCTGGGTGGGATTTTCCTGCACTGTAATTTCCCCTCTATCTCAACACAGAAATATTTTTGCCATGTCGGAGCCTTGGCTATTTGAGGGCCTCAAAGTGTGACTGCCTCCTAAGTTTCAACTTTTTAATCCACCCTTAGTCCCTTAAGGGGACATTCTGACCTTAATTTAGGTGGAGATTTGAGGAGATAAATCCAGGCCAGCCTGTGCTCCTTCTCCTGCCCTCACTGGGGGATGTTATATATATAATATACAGAAATAAATGAGCGTAGAACCCTCTCAGCACTTACCCCATTCTTGTCAAAAGCCCTGAACATGTTCTCCACATACTCTGCTGCTTCCTGGTTGTCCTGGACCCCGAAGAACCTCTTGAACTCATGCATGAAGAGGGTCCCACTGGGACATTCCACCACAAACTTCTTGTACCATTCCTGCAGCTCTGCGACATCAATCTCTCCTTGCTCCCCTTCAGCATTGGTGAACTGCTGCCCCATTTTCCTCAGGAAAGCAGGATTAAAAACAGAAGGAAAAGAAGAAAAACCCTGCCAAAGTCCTTTGTTCTTTTTCTTCTCTCTGTCCCGTGCCTTCCTCTGATGTTAGTGCTGTTCTTGCTATGTCACCTTCCCTTTTCTGTGCTTTATTTTCTGTTCCTCCTCCCTGCCCAGCTGCTGGCAGCTCCGTGCACTCCCCAGGAGATCTCGGAGTGGCTCCTGTGCCCCGGAGCACTGAGCACTGGGCACGGATAAAAATAACTAAAGATCATTAGGAGATTCCCACCCATGAGCCCCAGAGACCTTCAGATGTTCTCAGCTGTGCCCTATTTAGAAGCAAACTCCAGGGGCTCAGGGTCTTTCTGCACATTAATGCCAAAGAATTTGGGAGCAGAGGTTCCCTGTACACACAGCACACAGCCCCACTCTCTGTCCTGCAGAGTTTTCTAGGGAAAAAGGGGATTATAGGGGAAGGAACATCGATCTGTGCAGTGCTGGCTTGTGTTACTGCCTGTGGGGGCTGCTCAGGGCTTCAGTGAGATGGGGCACAGGAAAAACAGCAACTACAGAGAGGGGATCCTGAGAAAACAAACACTTCCATAGAAAAACCTGCTGGTGGATTAAATTAACTGAATGTCTGCTGTAGGCTGTGAGACAATTAGTGAAGGTATCTAGATACACACACATCCCTCTCATTGCCACATCTCCATCATAAAGCTTTAAGCTAAAAAGAGCAGGAGTTATTTATTTCCATATTTTTAGAGCACACTCTCCTTATTCCCTTCCCCTCTTTGTGTCCATGGAAATTCTCCCGCTTGCCCCTTCCCCTGAGGCTCATTCATGGCTCTGATGGCAAAGTGCAGCCCTTCCCTGGGGCTGCTCAGCACCCCCCAGAGCCCCTTCCTCCTCCTCCTCACAGCCAGCAGCCTTTCTGCACACCAGCCCCACTGTTCTCAACCCACCAGTATCTGTGTCAGTGGAAAGAATGACCTGAGCTATAAATGTGCCCAAGCCAGCCCAATATCTTCATTAAGAGGATTGGAGCAGCATTAATAGGAAACCATAGATTCTCTTATCCTACGTGCCAAGGCCCAGATGGATTTAAGCTGCTCATTTTTTGGAACTTTTTTGGGCGTTGGTTAGGTAAGAAGAGCCTCTCTCATGGAAGAATACTGGTTAAGAACCTGGCTGAAAATTGAATTTGATATTGCAGAACAGTGGAGCAATTCATGCTGCACTGTCAGAGTGGGGTTGGTCTGAATCCACTCACACCTGCAAGTGACCCAGCAGACATACTGTGTGTATATATATATATTTATATATTTATATATTTATATATTTATATATTTATATATTTATATATTTATATATTTATATATATTTATATATTTATATATATTTATATATACACACAGAGCTTTGCAGGAGTATAACACAACCTTACACCTTTACATGTGAGGATACCCAGGCAAGGTCTGGTTTCACTTAAAAGAAGAGCAAAGAGAGGACAGAGACAGCACAGCAGAAGCCTGGAGGTGGACGGGAAGGGCCAGAGAAGTTGCCAGAAAATTTGAGACTGTTCTATTTCAGTTAAAGCATTTATATCTAATGATATTCTTGTCCATCCTCGTGCCTAGAAGAATGCAACACAACAATGAACCCAGCCCTTCCTTCTGGAAGTGCTTCAGCCCCTGACTCGGAGCTGCCTCATCCACAGCAGGGCAGCTGTGGGGCTGCCACCAGAAAAATAACAATAAATCCATCCCCCCTTTTTCCTCTTCCCTAGAGCTACTGGAAAGGAGTCTGTGGTAGCCACAGCCATGTTCATTATTGATTTTATAGCATTTTTGGGATTATCTTGGCTGGTGAGGCCAGGAGCTCTCCCTGGGTCACAAAGAGCCCCAGGCCACAGAGGGGCTGCCAGGACAGGGTGGGAAGGATTTGTTCCTTTTTCCTGCAGCACAGCTGGGGAGTTGGGGATGTGCTGGGGTGAGGCCTCTCCACCATTTTGTGCTGCTCTCCTGCACGGAGCTGCCTGCTGGAATGTGAGTGCTGAGAGCACACAGCAAGACTCCACATGCCCAGGACATTGTCTTGACTCATTGCATAATTTTGTTTTGCCTTATGGGAACTTGGTGATCTGTTCCCAGGAGAGAAAATGGTTCCTTTTTGTTTGATGACTGCAATCTTCTCCAGCTGGGAACAAAGGGCTGCAAGAGACCTGGAGCACAAAGCCCAGCTGCTGCTGTTGCAGGTATCATGACATACAATCGTGTTGATAAAATAGTGATGTTTATTTGGCACTGAAATAAAGCAAATCCCATAGCTCCTGGTATGAAAATTCCTCTGCACATCCTCTGTGTGCTCTGCAGACTCTGCTGGAGGAGCTGCTGCCTCAGCCAGCAGGATGTCCCTTCACAAGGTACAGTTTATCAGCCAAAAGATGTCTTAATTTGATTAAAAAAATGATCCAGATAGAGGTAAATATAGGCAGAGAGAAGTAAAAATAAAAATAATAATTTCTAGAAAACACCACAGTGCAGAGGCTGGGGCAGTTTGTGTGCCTGAAGGAGCAGGATCAGTGCTCGGTGTGCTGTGCCAGAGTGAACACTTTGGATGATCAGTGACAGACAGGTAACACCAGACTGCACATCCTGCCTCATGAGTTACCCTGCATTATCACCTCTGCAGCTGCAGAGCTGGGCAGTTTCCCAGCCAAGAGCATGGAAAAAGATGTGCAGCCGCTTTCCCGTCAGCTGCCTACCCCAGCGTGCTGCCACACGCCTCAGCACGGGCTGGGAGAAACTCAGGAGGAAAGAAAACCACCAAAGCCTGCAGAGGGCTGGGCAGACTCATCTGCTTGGCATCTGTGTCGGTGCTGGGAGCGCAGCAGAGGCTGTGGCAGAGGCAGCAGGGGCAGCTGCCTGCCCTGAGAGCTGCAGAGGTGATAATGCAGGCAGGACTGGACCCTGCTCCAGGCTGAGGCTCCCAGGCTCAGCAGTCCTCACCCAGCTGCTCTGCCACATTGCTCCATTTTTAAATACCTGCCCCAGGACCCCTCCTGCAGCTTGAGCATCTCGAGTGTCCTCCCAGCGTGCCAGGCAAGGAAGGGCAAACCCTGGCCAGGCACTGCCAGCCCTGCCCTGGTGTCCCCCTGCCCAGCAGCCCCCACAAGCACAGCCAGCCCAGAGCATCCTGCCCTTTTCCCTGTGGGACAGAGGTGTGGACAGCAGGAATGCAGGAACTTTTGTGCTGGCCTGGCTGAGGAGAGATCAAAGATGCTGCAGAGCTTGCCCTGGAGTTCAGCCCAATATCTGCCTGTGTCTCTTCCTGGTTGCTCCCAAAACTGTCCTACCACTGCATGCTTTACACAGCAGGAATAACAGGGGTGTTTTACTCCAGGAGCTGCTGTCCCCTGATTTACACATCAGGACTGGTCAGGTACCACTAAGGGAACCCCTCTCACCCAGCACAGAGAGCTCTGAGTGTCACATCTGGTACTCTGCTTATTGCCAGGAAGATTTTCTTATGTGCTGACAAACTCCTGCATGTTTCCTCTGAGTGGAATTCCACGCTGAATGAAGCCTGAAATATTTACCTTGCGCTCGCTATCCAGCAAGGCAAACTTGCCCAGAAAAACAGTGAATTGTTTTGTCTCTGTGTGTGAATATCTCCAAGATTGCGTCCAGTTCCAGCCTCTTGGCCCAGGACTGAGCTGTGGGTGTAAGTCAGCCTTCCCAAAGCCAGGGCTCAGTATTTTCCACAGTGTTCAGGGTGAGAAAGGAAATTCCCATTTTTTTTTCTGGTTTATTGAAACTGAAAGGTGAAGCACTGTATGATCCTTGAAACCAAGATTCACCACTGAGTCACGGTTCTCCACCTACGAGGAAAATAAATAAGACGCGAGGCTGGAGGGCAGGAGCCTGCCGAGGGACCAGGGAGAAGCTGCTGAGCCCCTTCCCAGGGGTAGGTGTGACCCAGAGCGGGGATGGCGCCAGGGAAGAGGGAGGTTTTTAGTTTTTATGCTTTTCAGAGAAAAAACTGTGTGCCTGTGGCTTTAATCAGAGCTCAGTTTACGGTTTGGCCTCATCATTGCCTGGATATGGATTTATACAGATGGATGGATGTAGGAGAAGAGCAAACGTACTCAGGTTGTGGTAGGGGAGGTTTAGATTGGATATTTGGGAGAATTTCTTCACGGAATGGATGGACAGGCACTGGAGCAGGCTGCCGGGGAAGCAGGGAGCCAGTGGCCCTGGAAGTGCTCAGAACCCTGCGGATGTGGTGCCGAGGGACACGCTCTGGGGGTGGACCCAGCAGTGCTGGGTTAATGTTTTAATGTTTGGACTCGATGATCTTCGAGGTCTTTTCCAGCCTTCATCATGCCGTGATTCCACCACTCAGCTGAGTATGCTTTGAACTGCGAAAAAGCCCAGGAACTTAAAGCTTTCTTCCCAAAATATTCCATTTAAAAGGCAAAGATACTCCGCTTAAAAGCAAACTTCCTTTCCTAAGCACTCCATTTACCAGGGGGGAAAAAAATAATCCCGTTTGGAAGTTTCCTAAATATTCCGTTTGACAGGAAAAGGGCCACGGCAGAAGGGCGGGGGTGCGGGGAGCTCCACTTGTCCCCGAGCGGGGTTCGGGGGCATCTGCGGGAGCGGCGCGGGGCGGTGCGGGCGGTGCGGCTGCGCGGAGCGCACCTGGGCAGGTGAGAGGCGGGGCAGGTGAGGGCCGGGCCGGGCCAGGTGAGGCGGGGCCAGGTGAGGGCCGGGCCAGGTGAGGCGGGGCGGGCGCTGGGCGAGCGCGGCCGCCGCTGCCCGAGCGCCGCTGCCCCACGCGCGGGCCCCGCGGGGCGGCCCCGAGCCCCCGCGGGACGGACCCGCCCCAGCCGCACGGACGGACAGACGGACAGACGGACGCACAGACGGACGGGGTGAGCCGTGCGGGGATCGGGCGGTACCGGCTCCGGAGCCGCCCGGCCCAGGAGCCGCCGGGCGCGG